ATTGGATAGGCCGTCGGGCTGAGCTTGGACAGGCCTGGGGGTTCGTGGGCAGGCATTGGGCAGGATCCGAGGGGAGCGGTGCTCTGGCGCCGCCTGGACCGCAGAAAGGAGACCCACCTTCTGCAGGCCCACGGCAACCTGGGGCTCCCCTTCACATTAGCTTGAGCTTGATGTTCTGCCTTCGCTGTGAGCGTCGCTCCATTTTCGATCCAAATTATTTGAAGTCCAGCTGTATGCGCTTGAGCTTGAACTTCCGCTCAACGCGCGGAAGCTTCGCTCCATTTTATAGTTCTCTTTTAGCTTGAGCTTGAACTTCCGCTCAACGCGCGGAAGCTTCGCTCCATTGCCATAATTTGTGGGAATGCCGAGACATTGGGTTTGCTCGAGGTGGGCCTTGGACGCTCTGGGTCGTCTAGGCCTTGGATAGGCGTAGAGTGCGTGAGGGGTGTGCCGAAATCGGGCCCATTGAGCCGTCTTGAGAGGTACGTAGCTGTTTCTTATGTCTTGTTTCGCCGATCGGCGCGGGCCCCCGCTCCCTCCTCCCCAAAGACCAGATCTTGGCTGCTTAAAGCGGCTGCTTCAACCGGGTTGATTAAGCACTGGGGCCCGCCCCCCCTCCTCCCCCCGGTGGACACACGAGCTGCTGCTGTACGTGTGTGAGTTGTTTTCTCGAGGCGCCCCCCTGGGAATGAAACAAAGGGTATGTAGGCAGCTGAAGTGGGATCATGCGGAATCTTATTTCGACCTGCGGCCCTCTGTATGTTTCATGTGGTTGCACGCCGAGTGGAACACGTCCACCGCGTCGACAACGAACATACTTTTTCGCGTTGCATGCCAAGTGGAATTCGTCCACCGCGCCCGCAACAGCTCCTCTGCCGCGTGGAATGTGATTCCATTGGTCCGCCAAAATGGGTGTGGAAAGGGAAGGGATTGAGAGGGTTTGCTGAGAGGAGAATGCAGGATTAAGGTCGACTGCGGCTCATGGCGTGCATCCGTGGGGGCATAGAGGGATGGTGCGGTTTGCTGATTGATCATGATTGATAGAAGTCTTTCTGCTCTCCGATGCTGCGAACCCTAGACCGTCGCCGCATCTTGCTAGAACCAAAGCGCGCGCGCAGCGCGCGCGTGGTTCATCGGAGTAGGGCCCGGGGGCGGCCCGGGGCGATGCCTGTAATCTCCATGGGGGGTGCAGGGCGCCCCCGGGAGCGTCCGGAGCGTCCCGGAGGGCCCCTGGGACCGCCAGGAACAGTTCGAGACCGCCCAAGACGGCCCGCGAGCGCTCCAAGACGCGCGTAGATAGCCTCAGGAATGGTCAGGAAGGCCCGAAGACGTTCCAAGAGAGCTCCATGAGGCCCCGAAGGCATCCCAAGAGGCCTCCCAAGAGAGCGCCGACAAACTAAAATCGCTGATTTTCATATTTTTTTCGAGGTTGTTGGCCTTCTCGCTTTTTCGGGGTTCCGACGCTCCAAGACCGTCCAAAAGTCTCCCAAAACCGCTCCAAGACGGCCGAAGAGGCCCCCAAAACCGCCCCAAGACGGCCCAAGAGACCTCCAAAATCGCCCCAAGACGGCTCAGGAGAGCCCCAAGATGGCCCAGGAGCCGCCCAAGACGGTTCCAGCCCCGACAGGGCTCAAGACTGCCTAAGCGAGCCCAGCGGGCCCCGAGAGGGCCCCGCGAGGCCCCAAGAGGCCCCAGAGAGGCCCCCAAGAGCCTCCCCGGAGGCCCCCAAGAGGCCCCGAAGATGCCCAAAAATGGCCCTGAGCGCGCCCCAAGACGCCTCCAGGAGAGCCCAACAGGCCTCCGAGAGGCCCCCAAGAGGCCCACTGGAGGTCCTCAGGAGGTCGTCCCCATCATGTTCCCAGAAGGCGGTCCGGGAACATGATTCCGCGCCTTGGAGGAGTATTCTGCGCTTTCCGAGGCGCCTTGGACGACGTACGTATGTTTCTATATATTGTCCTTCTCCTATGTGCACAATCCTACATGGTTTACGTATGTTTCTCTCTCTCTCTCTCTATCTATATATATATGTATATATATATGAATGTATATAAAATATATATATACATTCATATATATGTATATGCATATGTATATGCGTGTGTATATATATATATATATATATATACACATATATATGTATATATATATATATATATATATAGGGGAAGGGGGTCCTGGACCAGGGGGGGGCCTCACTTTGCCCAGTGGCTGTGGTCACCCCCCGCCGGAGACGCCAGGACGCTCCCAGGAACCTCTAAAATGGCTCCAGGACGCCCTCAGGACAGCCCAAGAGAGGTCCGAAGCGGCCCGGGAACACTCCAAGACTGTTTAAAAGCTGCCAAAGCGTCCCAGCAGATCTCCGACAGCACTCTCGGGAGGGGCCCAATAGGAAATTGTCACTGATTTTTTGTGGGTTTTGAAAGGTTTTGGCGTTCTCCCCAGTTCGGCTTCCAGACGCTCCAAGGCGGCCCAAGAGGCCCGAAAGACCGCCTCAAGACGAGCCCAGAGGCTCCCAAGAGACCACCGAGACAGCCCAAGAGGGCCCCAAGACGGCCCAGGAAGCTTCCAAGACGGCCCAAAAGAGCTCCCAGAACACTCCAAGAGGAGCCCCAGATGGGGAACACGAACTGACATTTCGAGCCCTCGCCCACCAGAAGCTCCCAAGAGGCCCCCAGGAGTCCGCAAGAGGCCTCGAGAGGCCCCCAGGAAGCGCTTGAGGTTGAAGCGGTGCCTCCTCCTTCCTTTCCTCGTCCTCCTCGTCCTCCTCCTCCTGTTTTGGCCTCCGGAGGCCGCGGGACCTTCGAACATCGATCCCGAGGGGGCGCTCGCGGTTGAAGCTGTGGTGTCCTGGGCGCCCCCCGGCCGCGAGACGCGGTCCAGGGGGAAGCCGTGCCTCCTCTTCCTGGTTCTCCTCCTCGCCCTCGTCGTCGGAGGCCGCGGGACCTTCGAAGATCGACCCCGGAGGGGACGCTCGAGGTGCAGCGGTGGGGTCCTGGGCGCCCCCCCGGCCGCGAGACGCGGTCCAGGGGCGAGTGTCCGGGGCGGGCACTCGAGGTCGAAGCCGTGCCTCCTCTTCCTCCTCCCTTCCTCCTCCTCCTCGTCCTCCTCCTCGTCCTCCTCCTCGTCCTCCTCCTCGTCCTCCTCCTCGTCCTCCTCCTCGTCCTCCTCGTTCTCCTCCTCGTCCTCCTCCTCGTCCTCCTCGTCCTCTTCCTGCTTCTCCTCCTCCTCCTCCTCCTCCTCCTCCTCCTCCTCCTCCCGCGTCGGTCTCCAGAGGCCGCGGGGCCCGGGGGAAGCGGAGCTGAGGCCGTGGTGGCCCGGGCACGCCGGCACCGCCACGCGTCTTGCCCTTCCACTGCGAGCATGCTTCATTCTCAAGGGCTCGAGGGCGCGAGGTGATTCGCGCTTCTCGGTTCGGCTCTGATTCCTCCTCATCCTCCCTTTTCTGCCCTGGGAGGCGGCGCGAGAGCGCGAGGTTATTCGCACTTCGCGCAGCGCGAAACGCGAAGTTGGGAGCCCTTGTTCGTTCCACCAACACGCCGTAGCGCTTCCCAAGAGGCCCCGAAAGACTCCCAAGACGCCGCCAAGGGCCCTGAGAGGCGTCTCAACAGTCCACGGTCCAGTCAACTTCTGACCCACAGCCCAGGCATGGCAATCTTTCTTCAAAGGGATTCCAGGAAGTCCTTTTTTTCAAACTTACCCTCGGCTTGTTCTTGCACAACGGGCCATCTTTAAGGCCCCCGTCACCACCGAAGAAAGATCTCAGGAAGCCATCGAGGGCCCAACTACATCGAACACCTAAAGGGAAAGTGTGATTTAGTGGTTTCCGCATTTCCCCTTCTACACGTTTCCGAGGCTTGCGCAGGGACTCCGACGAGGTCGTTAGATGCACAAGGCACTTCGAACATTGATTTTCCATGCGTTAGCCTGTCGAGCCTAGCTAGAACTTGAGCGCGCGCGAAGCGCGCGCGATGGTTCTAGTATATATATATATATATGTAAATATACATCCGTACATACATACATACATACATACATACATACATACATACATACATACATACATACATACATACATACATACATATATATAAATATATGTGTTTATATATATATATATATATATATATATATGGATGCAGTTTTCCTCCGCGTCGAGCGGCCAAGCGAGAGGGGCTCCGCCAAGTTGGGGCTGTCCTCGGCGTCGCACTGTCCGTCTCTTCTCCTGCTCTGCTCTCCTGCTGTTGCTCTGTCCCCTCTCGCGGCCATTCTGGTTTCAAGGCTTGCATGGGCTTGCGCCGCGCCGGATGCCTCTCCCCCTCGCGGCCGTCGGGCAGTGGAGCGCAGCGCTGGTTTCTGTCTGGGCCAGCCGCTGCCCAGCCTGCCCGGCCTGCCCGCCGTGCGGGTCGGTCAACGTCACCTGCGGCAGCTGCCCGGCGGCGCCAGCGGTGGCGTGCCCGGCGGTGCCAAATCCTCGGCCGTGCCCCGAGCTGGCCTGCCCAGCCCTCCCCCCCTGGCCTCGCTGGACTGGGCCACGTGGCTGGGCCCTGGGCTGGGTCCTGGGCGTGCTGTGCGCCCTGGCGGCGCTGGCAGTCTGCGCGCCCGTCCCGGCCCTGCTGCACGGGTTCTCCGCCCGCGCGCCCGGCAGGCGACGGCGGGGCTGGCCCCGCGACCTGGCCTAGGGCCATCCGCGGTTGATGGCTCGGGCGCAGCCCGAGACCCTGGACATCGCGGAGAGCCAGGTCTGCATCGCGTTCGACGACGATCCGAACTTCCGATGGCATCACCGAGTTTTATTGGTCCCCTCGCCCACTCCGGGCCATTGGGTGGCCGCGACCCCCGATGCCGAGATCTATCTGTTGAAGCTGGACGAGTATCGAGTGGTCGCCCTGGCACGGGCGGCCGTGTTCCCGCCGAGGGTTCGAGGCCAGGTCTACGCGTTCGGAGCTCTCTCGGACGCCGACCTGGCCAACCTGCGCCGCGACGGGCGCAACTTCGCGAAGGTGCTGGGCTTCCCCCTTCCCGCCGTGCAGCCTGGGGTCGACGTCCCTCGGTGGATCGTCGCGGACCCAGCGAGCGACCACTTCGGGGAGGAGGTGAGCCTGGAGCTGATCACCTCGGCCGAGCGGTTCATCAGCCGCGACGCGGTGGCTCTCGCGATGCTGTCCGACGCCGAGGGCTGGGTCGCCGCGGAGAACGCGCAGCTCAGCGACGAGCCGGACTGGAAGGCGGAGAAGAGGGCTGGCCCTGGCAGGGACCGCCGCGTGCTGCCGCAGACGGGCGCGTCTGCCCACGCCGTCTCACTGGCGCAGCTGGTGGCCATCCTGAAGAGCGTGGACGTGGGGGACTGGCCGTTCGAGGGGCCCAAGGCTCTCGTCGAGTTCATGGCCGCGGTGGTCTCGTCTGGGCAGTCGCTCTCGTCGCGCCTGGGCTTCTGGGTGGCCCAGTCGGGGGTCTCACGCGGCAGCGCCGTGGCCCAGGAGCTAAAGAACATCGTGGAGGTTCTGCATCACGCGCTGGTCTTCGACGCGCTGGATGTCTCGAACCTCGCCTCGTTCGAGCTCCTGAGTCGGCGGGCCCTCCAAGTCCAGTGGGCGGTCAAGCGCTGCCCCCGCCGCCCCTCCTTCGAGGGCTTGGAGCTGATGGTCTCGAGCCGCCTCGACGACTCGGGCGGCGCCGTCGCGACCAAGTTCGACGCTTGGGTCGCGGACCAGCAGAAGGCGAGGAGCACCGTCCCCAAGCAGGAGAGGATGCACCGGGAGGAGGCGGACCACGAGGATAAGAAGTACCGCAACGAGCAGAGGGGCGGAGCCAGGCCCCCTCGCCCCAAGGCCAAGCCGAAAGGCAAGGCCGGGGCTGCGCCGGCTGGCGCTGGATAGCAAGCCGGGCGCCCTGGCGCCCCCCGCGGCCGCGGCGCCGCCTGCCGCAGCCGCCGGCGCACCGCGACGCCATGGCCACCACCCTGGATCGCGGCTGCCTCCCCGTCGAGGGTTCCTCCTCGCGGGGGCCCCCACCCTTGTTCCCGCTTCCAGTCACGGATGCCTTCTACTCGCATCCGCCGCGAGGGGGGCGCGCCGCTTTGCCTCGGTATAAGGCGCAGCGCGCGGCCGCCACTGATCGTCGCGCGGCTCGCACCATCGAGAAGATCACGATCCTCAATGGGATGGCCGCCGCTTGCGCTGGGAGGGAGGTCGCGCTCCGGCCCCCTCAGAGGACAGGGGGCGCCGACATCGCTCAGGGGTCGGCGCTCAGGCGCATCCGCCGTCGGATCGCGGCCTTTGATGAGTGGCCCGCCGACTTGGATGGAGCTGGAGCCCTCCAGGAGCTCCTCAAGACCAGGGGCGTCTACGGCGGCCTCGACGCTTCCACGACCGTGGTCGATTTTGACTCGAGTCGCCTCAACATCCTGCGTAAGGAACACTTCTCCACGCCGCTCGACGACGTGGCCCCCCAGAGCGCCAAGGACGTGCTGGACAACTTCGACGCGACCGTCGCCCGCCCTCTCTCCGAGCTGCCCGAGGACGAGCCGCTGGCGCAGCCGTATTGGGACCCGCAGCTCGACCCACGCCGTCGCGGCACGCGCCCGGCGCTGGTGGCCTTTCTTCGTGCGCTGGCTGGCCGAGGGCTCGTTGGAGCTCGGGCCCGTCGGAAGTCGTGCATCTCCGCTTTCTTTGTTCGCAGGAAGAACGGCGACCAGAGGATGGCGCTGGATGCCCGGCAGGCCAACCAGCTGCAGCGCCTCCCGCCCAAGACCGCGCTTGCCTCGGGGGAGGCGCTCGCGGCGATCAACTCCGTGGACGCCGCCGACCTCAACCCTGACGACCTCGACATCGTGACGACCGGGGGCGACCTGGTGGCCGGCTCGGTGGACCTGCAGGACGGCTTCTACCAGTTCCGCCACTCGGCCTGGGGCTCCTGGATGTGCTTCGACATCGAGATGGACGCGGGCGAGCTCGGGGTGACCCAGCTCTATGACGAGAAGCTCGGCCGCTACGTCGACATCAGTCCTGACACCCGTGTCTGGCCTTGCTTTGAGGCCCTCTCCTATGGGGTGGTCGTGGGCCCTGTGGATTTGCCGAGAGGTCCTGATCGACACCATGGGCACCGTCTTCGGTGACAAGGACTCCTGGTGCCTGGACAAGGGCAAGCCGCCCCCCCTGCTAAGCGGGGGGGTTGCTCACGCGCCCTATGTCGACAACGCGAACCTCATTTCCCTGGGCGCCGGCGAGCTCGACCGGCGCCTCGGTGCCGTCGCGGACGAGCTGGACAGGAGGGGGCTCCGCTGGCACGAGCTGCAGCACGCCACCCCGTCGCAGAGCATCCTTGGTCTCGAGTTCGACGGCCGACGCGGTCGCCTTCGCCGCGCGTCACGGCGGGCGTGGCGCCTGCGCCTTGGCCTGCACGAGGTACCACGCAGGCCAAGGCTCGCCCGCTGGCAGGTCAGGGGGCTGCTTGGACACATCGTGCACTACTTCAGCATCATGCGGCCCGCCCTCAGTGCGCTAGGGGAGTCCTATGCCTACCTCGAGTCGGGCCCCATGGAGGGCGTCTCCCGCCTGCCGTCCAGCGTCTTGACTGAGCTCCGCTGCGCTGCTGGGCTCGCGTTCTTCGGCCAGGTGGACCTGCGCCGACCCCCGGCGCCAGTGTCCTACACCGCGGACAGCTCGATGCTGGGGTGCGCCGTCTGCGAGGCGGAGCTCCTCGGGCACGAGGTCCTCGACGCTTCGCGCTGGCGCGAGAGGCAGCGCTTCAGCGAGGTCGAGGTCGCGGGCGATCCCGATAAGGACGTCCACCTCGGCCGCGCCGCGGGGCTGGCCGACGTCTCCCACCCGCGCGGCGACGACCTCGGCGCCGCCGACGCGGGGCGCCCCCGCCGGCAGGCGGGTGCTCGCCGCCGGCGCCAGGAGATGGAGGCGGGCCGCCCCCCGCCTGCTCTGCCTCCCGAGCTGGTCGACCCGCAGCGGTGGACCGAGGCCATCCGAGGCGCGTGGCGGCATCCCGGCCGCGCCCACAGCCTGGAGGCCCGCGCCTCGGTGATCGGGCTAGGCGCGGCGGCGCGCCAGGCCAGCGTTGCCCTCGCGACTCGGCCGTCGCCGAGCCGCGTCTCCAGGCCACCAGGGCTCGGAGAGAAACCAACCGGTTGCACGGGACAGTGGAGCGAGGACCTCGCACAAGGGATCATCCTCTCTACCACCCCAGCTGAGTCTGTTCTCCCATCCTGTTCTTCCCCTCCTCCGTCATGCTCCACATCATCGAGATCACGCACAGGTTATCGTTCACAGATCGGGTCGTCAAGCACTTCGGCAGGTCACTGGCCTCAGACTGGGTCTCCGAGTGCATCGGGTTGTCAGCGCCCCCAGGCTGGGCCCTCAGCTTCGTCGGCTTCTTGGGCTTCACGGGTCAGGCCATCGGCATCATCGACGAGTCAAGGTCCCCGGGCTGGGGCATCGAGCTCTTCGGCCCCCCCTCGGGCACGCAATGGGCCTCGTCAATAGTGCTCCTCAGGGTCTTCGTCTCAGGCCCCGCGGGGCCGGCAGTCAGGCCGTGCCAGTTTCCTGGAGTTGTTCGCTGGAGGCGCAAACTTGTCGGGGGCCTTCCACGAGGCCGGGCTCCGTATCGCTTGCCCTCTGGATATCGCAAACGGGGAGCATCATGACCTCGCTCACCCCGGCGTCCGTAACGCTATCTTGGCTTGGATTGCACAGCGCCGCTGCATACACATTGGCCTTCCGTGTACACACTGGGTGCCGGCTGGGGGCAACCGGCCTCCACGCCCGGCGCACCTCGCTCTCGTCAGCTTCGCCGTGCGGGTGCTCGAGCTCTGCCGGAAGCTGAACATCTTCGTGCTCCTGGAGAACCCAGGACCCAGCCGGGTCTGGCGCTGGGCGCCCCTGGAGAAGGAGCTCCGGCACCACAGGCCGGGCAAGGTCGTCTACGACTCCTGCCGCTTCGGGGCCCCCTTGAAGAAACCAGGAGCTGTCGCCGGCACGCTGCCGGGCCTGGAGCTACTGGGCCGCCGGTGCCAGCGTTGCCGACCACATCGTGAAGTTCTCCAGGGCAAAGTTCGCCATCCGACGAGAGGGTGGGTCTGGCGGACTACCTTGGCCGGCGCGTATCTCCCGGAGCGGTGCCGAGAGCTCGCGCGCGTCGCTTCGCTCTCCGCCCCGAGGTGCGCCCATGGCCGAGCCGCGCCCAGAGACCTCGCGACTTGGGATGGCGCCCTGGCAGCCGCGACGGGCGAGGTCCGCCTCCGCGCCCCCGGCGCCCCGCTCTGCCCGCGGAGGTTCCGGTTCCCTTGGCGAGCCGCCTGGGCCTCCGCGCTCGACCCGCGCCCCCGCCCCTCGGGCGGCCGGCGGGCCTCGGGACGCAGCCCCGCCCCCAGGCAGGGGCCAGGCACGGCGCCGCCGGGCGCTGGCGGCAGAGCGCCGGAGGCGGGCGGCGGCGGCGGTGACACGGGCCGAGCAGCAACGGCAAGCCCGCCAAGTGCCTCCCGGTGACTTCCTGCGCATGGCTTCGTTGCGTCCTGCGGCCCTGACCAAGTACCAGCAGGCCGTCGCCGACTTCGAGGCTTGGGCTCGGCGTCAGCGTCTGCCCTTTGACAGCCCAAAGGATGCCGACTCGTCAATGAACTTGTACATTGAACACCTTTTCTTCTGGATCTCCTCAATATATGTCACGAAATGCTCTCTATGGACTTGCTCGTCTCAGAGGATGGGCCGTGGCCAAACCTCACTTTGCGCGTTCAAAGGATGCCCTTGCGGGCTGGTCTGCCAGGATGCCTCGGCGCCCCAGGATGCACGCCCCCTCCGACGCAGTGATCGCCTGCGTGGGAGCCCTCGCTGAGCGCTCCTCGCTGGGGCCCTCGCCGCCGTGGCCACGATTGCCCAGTTCGACCTGCGCCTGCGGCCCAGCGAGGTTCTCGCCATCACCGCAGGGGACGTCCACGGCAGCGCCGGCGGCCAGGTCTCGATCATCATCGCGCCTCTCACGGGCGGCGCGCCGTCCAAGACTAACGAGTTTGACCGCGCATTCGTCGCTGGTGCACCTGTGCCTCTGAGGCGCCAAGTGCCCGCAGCGCTGCTCGCCCTCCGCCGAGGCCGCGCAGCCTCTGCTAAGCTGTTCGCACCCTTGAACCTCAGTACATACGAGAAGCTCGTGCGAGGTGTGGCTTCCGACCTAAGTCTGTGCCGCGTCTTCTCCGTGCCGCATCAGCTTCGACGCGGCGGCCCCTCGCACGACGCCTTAGAGCAATTGCGCAGTCTTGATCAGATCCAACAGCGTGAAAGGTGGCGCGCACGAGAGTCCGCGCGCATCTATGAGAAGCACGGCTCGCTCTTGAGACAGCGAGCCGCCGTGCCTACCGCCGCCCGCCAACGGGCCGCCCGTTTTTCGGCGGCGGACTTTCGGCACCTCGTTTCTCGCGTTGCCAGCTCCAATCGCGTGCCTGTGTGATCTTTCTTTCTTTCTCTTCCCAACCCGCCCTCCCAATGGCGACTGAATTGGGGGTGGGAGCCAATGCTATGCAGTCAGATTTGGTGATTATTGATCCGGGCCCGGGCCCTTATTCCCCTGCTGCCAAGCAAGCTCAGCATTATATATTTTTAAGTGCACCTCGTCCTGAGTAAGGACGCGTCCTCGTGAAAAACTGGATCGCCCGTCTCATGTCTGTGTGAATGGTGGCCGCGCCTAGCTGGAGGAATGTTTATCCTTGGATGCAGTTTTCCTCCGCGTCGAGCGGCCAAGCGAGAGGGGCTCCGCCATGGTGGGGCTGTCCTCAGCTTCGCGCTGCCCGTCTCTTCTCCTGCTCTGCTCTCCTGCCGCTGCTCTCCCCCCTCTCGCGGCCATTCTGGTTTCAAGGCTTCCCTCCCTAACCCTCCCTGGGAGCTAATGCTACGCAGTCAGATTTGGTGATTCTCGATCCGGGCCCGGGTCCTTTTTCCCTTGTTGCCAAGCAAGCTCAGCATTATATATTTTTAAGTGCACCTCGTCCTGAGTAAGGGCGCGTCCTCGTGAAAAACTGGATCGCCCGTCTCATGTCTGTGCGAATGGTGGCCGCGCCTAGCTTGAGGATATATATATATATATATATATATATATATATATATATATATATATATATATATATATTATATATACATACATACATACATATATGCATGCGTCTGCGTGTGTATATACGTGTATATATATATATACACATACACATACACATATACATACATATATAGATATACCTATACGACCACACTCCGGGTGATAAGGAGGTTCGGGGGGGGAGGAACCAACGTCTCACTCGATCGGTCTCACTATCGATATCACAATCGATCTCACTATCGGTCTCGCTCGATCGGTATCATTCGATCGGTTTCACAATCGGTCCCACTCGATCTATTTCATTCGATCAATCTCACAATCGATCGGTCTATCGATACCACAACCGATATCACTATCGATCCCACTGTCGATCTCACAATCGATCTCACATTCGGTCTAACGATCGATCTCACTATCGATATCACAATCGATATCACAAGCAACGTCATCATCATCAACATCATCGTCATCAACGCCATCCGCATCATCATCAACATCAACATCAGCGGGACACCATCCCCATCATCATTACGTCATCACCATCATCATCAACATCATCATCATCATCATCAACATCATCGGGGCACCATCATCGTCACCATCATCATATTCCGCATCAACATCATCATCATAATCGGTACACCATCATCATCATCATCATCGGAACACCACAGTCAGCATCATCATCATCATCTCACCATCGCCATTATCATGGACAACGTCATCAACATCATCATCATCGGGACACCATCATCATCATTATCAACATCAGCATCAGCATCATCATCACCATCGGAACACCAGCATCATCGTCACCATCAGCATCATCACCACCAACATCATCAACATCACCAGGACACCATCATCATCATCCACATCAGCATCGTGATCATCGGGCCGCCATCATCAAAATCATCATCATCACATCCTCATCTTCATCACCAACATAGTCATCATCGGGACAGCATCGTCGCCATCATCGTCATTATCATCATCATCATCGGGACATCATCATCATCATCACCATCATCAACAGCATCATCACCAATCCCATTATCATCATCATCATCATCGGGACACCATCATCATCAAGATCGTCATCATCATCATCATTTAATCTTTTGATCAGCATCGACATCATCGGGATCATCAGCATCATCATCATCGGGGCACCATCATCATCAACAACATCATCACCAGCAACATCATCATCATCATCATCATCATCGGGGCACCATCATCACCACCATCACCATCATCATCATAATCATCGACAACAACATTGTCAACATCATCATCATCGGGACACCATCATCATCACCATCATCGCCATCATCATCATCATCGTCAACATTATCATCATCATCATCATCATCATCATCATCGGGACACCGACGGGACACTGGCGGGACACCGCGCGCCACCGGCCCCCGAGCGGGACACCGTCAGGACACTGGTTGCCGGAAGGGAGATTTTTGGTCCAGCCGCGCCTCAGCTACAGGAGACTTTTTCTCGCCCGCCCACGCAGCTTCGCCTCGGCCGCACGCACGGCACGCACGAACACGAAACCGAAACCGATTTCCCGGTAGGGGGGCTCTCCGACACCATGTCGATCTCACCCCCTCACCTCCGGTACATACATAGATAAACACATACATACACATACATACAAACAGACAGACACACAGACATACATACATACTTACATGCATACATATATATATATATATATATACGTATATATATGTGTGTATGTATGTATGTATGTATGTATGTATGTATGTATGTAAGTAAGTAATTAAGTAAGTAAGTAAGTATGTATGTATGTATGTATGTATGTATATATATGTATATAATTGATGCCGGAGGAAAAAACCAATCAGGGCTATAGGGCTATAGGGCTATTGAGCTATAGGGCTATAGAGCTATCGGGCTATAAAGTTGTAGGGCTACTGGGCTATAGGGATATTGGGCTGTAGGGCTGTAGGGCCCCGAGCACCCCCGGGCGCCCCCCGGCACGCCCGGGCACCCGGGCACCCGGGCACCCGGGCACCCCGGGGCACCAGGCACCCCCGGGCACCCGGGCACCGGGGCACCCGGGCGTGCAGCGAAAATCGGCGACAAACCTAACCTAACCATATGAATCCGCTACGACCCCTAGAGAAGCAAGCTCTGATTGGGGAATATATATATATATATATATATATATATATATATATATATAATTATGTATGTATGTATGTATGTATGTATGTATGTATGTATGTATGTATGTATGTATATATACATATATATATATAGCACCTACCAGTTGCTCATAAGGGGGGGACGGCGGGCGCGGGGTGGGTCGCCAATGGATCGCGGGGTGGGTCGAGGGGTGGGTCGCGGGTGGGTCACGGGACAGGACGATGACAACAAACAACAGCAAACAATGTGTTGGGCCACGAGATCCCACTTCAGCCACGCTCCCAGGGACAATGAATGACCGTTTGGCCCCCATCGTTGTGATATATATATATATATGTATATATATATAGAGAGAGAGAGAGAAAGAGAGAGAGAGAGATGCATAAATACACATATGTACAAATATGAATATATACGCATACATACATACATATATACATACATACATACATACATACATACATACATACATAGCGGGAGAGAGAGAGAGAGAGAGAAATGGACAGAGTCACAGAGAGCAATATTCTCTTGTCTCTCCCCCCTTGACATCAGGACCCTCTCCTCTCTTGTCCAAAACGTGAGAGAGCGATAGAGAAGGACCGATCCACATTTTAGGAGGAGGAGCAGAAGAGAAACGGGAAGGGAGCAGTTGTAAGTCGGATGAGACAGGGAGGATGTTGAGAAGCAAGAGGAGCAAGAAGAACAGCGAAAGGTGGATGGCGGGAAAATGGAGGAAACTGTATGAGTAATGTGTGCTGTTTCATTCAATTATGAATGTGTTGATTCATGGACATACACATATGCAAATCTGCGCGGATTTCTGTGCCCCCAAGCACCGAGCAGTGCTTCCACTGAAGAGCATTTACTTTTAACTGGAAGTTGTCTGGCGTTTCCAGTTTTGCAGTCGGTGGGTGCCCGTGAACATTCCTGGACTTTCCGCCGGTGTGCGCCCTTGCCTGCCCTGTGCCCAGCCCGTTAATTGGGTGGCGTTTCTGGGCTTTGGTTGGTCGGCGCCCGTGCCCGCCAATTCACGAGAGCGTTTTTTTACCACTCTGGGCCATAACGCGCGTTATGCCTCCCCCGCCCCCCCCCTTCATCAACCATAACGTATCGCTCCCCCCCCCCCATCCAGTTCGTCCACGGCACTACCGCTGCGCGTCTGGCACCACATTCTTTCACGGTGGGGGGCGGCGGGGGGAGTTACGCCCCCCCCCCGCCTCCCCCCTCCCCCCCACAACGCCCGGCATCGCCGCGAATAGAAAAGCTGTCTGTCTTAAGCTAGGCGGGATCGTGTGTGCTCCCACAAAGACGGCGGGGCGCCCACGGGGGAAGCGTTTCTGTATCTTCGGGGAAGGCTTAGGAAACCTCTCAGAAGGCCCGAAGCCTTCCGACCCTTCTGAGAAGGCCCGCCCCTTCTGGGGGTGATGTCGGCGTGGGAGGCGAGGGTGGAAGGGAAAAGAACGGGGACCAACCAAGACTGCAGGCCCAAACATCGTGCCGATCTTGGTCAGCGTCGATTTTGGTCAGCGTCATTCCGTGAATCCTCCGCACAAATTGCCGCCGAAAAGAAGCCGGCCCCAACCGCTGCGCGAGGACGCCGCTGGAGGCCTCGAGGGTGCCATCCTGGGTGCTGGCCAGCCAAGCGCCGCCGGCGCAGCAGCCGCAGGCATGGCTCGCAG